GGGACAAGGCCTCCTACGTCCGGAGGGCGGCCGTGCTGGGCTGCGCCAAGATGGTGAAGCTGCAGGGGGACTGCGAAGTGGGTGAGTTGGGGCGGCCCCGGGCTGCCCTCCCTGCTGACCGCTTCCCCCAGGTCAGCCCGTATCTTTCGTTCAAGCATATGGACAGTGATTAAATTGCAGCGTGTCAGCCGGGTGTGACACGGGGACTTCTGCTTTGCAGATGGTGCGTTGGTGAATGAGCTGTATAGTTTGCTTCGTGACCAGGATCCTATTGTAGTCGTCAATTGTCTGAGGGCCTTAGAGGAGATCCTGAAGAAGGAGGGAGGGGTTGTCATCAACAAACCCATTGCCCATCATCTCCTCAACAGGTTTGTTCTCTCTGATGGTGCTGGAAGCTTCATTCTTCTTGTGTTTCGTGTGCTAGCAGAGCTGGTATTCCTGGGCTTTTTGGTGATAGTAGATTTACAGGACAGGTGTGTTCTAGTATGTCTCACCCAATCCATTGAAAGAAACAACTTACCGATTGCTTGAAGGAATAAATTTTTCTGTAGATAATTCTAGATGATCTGGCAATAGAGGGATATTGCTCTGCCCCAAGTGCACGTGTCTGATACTGGGTTAAGCCTACGTGCATAAACCGGTAAGTTCTCTTGAAATACAGTTGTGGCATCTACCTCTGAAGTGTGCGTTTGGTTTGGAGCAGAGACTGTAAGAAGCTCAGAGGCTGCAGCCTCTACCCTGCACAGTGCAGACCTTTGTCTGCTTCTTGACTTCTGCCCCCTGTGTCTGTTGGCAGGATGTCTGACCTGGACACGTGGGGGCAAAGCGAGGTGCTCACCTTCCTGCTGCGCTACAGGCCCCGCAGCGACGAGGAGCTCTTCGACATCCTCAACCTCCTGGATGGCTACCTCAAAAGCAGCAGCCCCAGCGTTGTGATGGCAGCCACCAAGCTGTTCTTGGTGCTGGCCAGGGAGTACCCACACGTGCAGGCAGATGTTCTGGTGAGAGTGAAGGGGCCGCTGCTGTCTGCCTGCACGTCGGAGAGCAGGGAGCTCTGCTTCACTGCGCTGTGCCACGTGCGTCAGATCCTCGGCAGCCTGCCTGGCCATTTTAGCAGCCACTACAAAAAGTTCTTCTGTTCGTATTCGGATCCCCACTACATCAAATGCCAGAAGATGGAGGTGTTGTGTGAGCTGGTGAATGATGAGAACGTGCAGCAGGTGCTGGAGGAGCTGAAGGGCTATTGCACTGATGTGTCCCTAGAGCTTGCCCAAGGGGCCATCTTTGCCATAGGTGAGAGCTGTCTTGCCTCAGGAGCAGCTGCAGCCCAAGACACCCTGCTTGTTCTTTAGTTGTGATGGAGGCAGAGTTAAGGTCATTTGGGGGACTTTAGTATTGATTTTGTGTGCTTTAAAATAGGTGAGTTTCTGTAATATTCATAAGGAGAAAGCCAGGAATGCTAAAAGGTCTTGCTTATGTGTTACATTTAAGAAAAGTTCAGGCTTCTGAGGCTTGGCTTCAGCAAAAGGAACATACCCCTTGTATGAGGAACAAGCTCTTTTGACTACCCTTTCAGAAATCAAAATCAAAAAGGCAGAGAGAAGGGCTGTTTCTTTAAAGTGAGTTTATGATGAATAGCTGGGCTCATGGTTCCCATTTCTAAGTTGTCTTTTATGTCCTTTGGTGTCTTTGCAGGCAATATTGCTAGAACATACACCGAGCAGTGTGTGGGGATTCTGACAGAGCTCCTGGGTCTTCAGCAG